AGTGGGAGGGTGTCCGCTAAGGTGCGGACAGCAGCGAAGGCTGGAACGGAGGACAGGGCGGAGAGTCGCGTGGCGAGGCGTTGAGGCTGAATCGCTGAGGCGTGGGGCGGAGGTGAGGGTATGGCCTAGAGACCGCGAAGGGAGATGGCTGGGCGCTGGGGGGTGTGGCGAGACGCGAACGGAACGCGCAGGGACGTAGGGACTCTGAGGCTTTGGGAGTGATGCTGGGGCGCGGAGGGGGCGAAGCGGGGCGAAGCGGGGCGAGGCTGGGCAGGAAGGTGGAGAGCATGAAGGGGTGGGGCAGTGCGGAGCTGGGAAGGGTGCGGCGGTGGTGAAAAGCTCTGTGTAACCTCCGAGCGCGCAGGAGGCTGCGGAAGAGGTCACCACATAAGTGGTGCCATCGGAAAGCCGAGGTGGATCAAGCGACGAGCAATAGAATTAAAAATCAAGACCATATAAAATGAATGGAAAGAGGAATTGGAAATATAATAAGTGAGCGTGATAGTGAATGTGTGCGATAAGTGAAATCGAATATATTAAGAGAAATGAACGGGTAAGGAAACAATGACGAGAGAACGCAGTGCTATTCACTGCTGAAAGGAATTCGAGGTATTGCGATAGAATAGTATATTGCAATTACATAATTGCGTTCATTGAAACTACATACGATCAAAAAGTGTCATACCGATTTGCGTACTCTTATCTTATATTTTATCTCAATAGTTTGAAACAAGCTATAATGACTATTGCCTGTTTTCTATTAGTATTTTGAATGTTGTCTAAGAAACTGGTTGTGCTCGGAAAGTTGAAGGAACTGCTTGCTAGGTCGATGAGAGATAGCATATGCTTTAGCGAAGGCAGACAAAAAATCTATTACGAATCACTAAAGCATTTGTCTATATGAATGGTTTTGCTTTTGCGTGCGTGTATGTTCACACTCCCATAGAGGAGGATACATAGAGTTAACTACCAAAGCGCACTGGAACTCATAATGAAATTAACCTTGAATTGAATCTAAGAACAAACGAACACGGAGGGAACAGCCGATGCTGAAATTGCGCTCTCGAAGTTAGGAGGTAGAAAATTTGAAGTGGGAATAACATTACATTCCGCCTCTCACACTTCCTCTGCTTCTCCCACGTCCCGGTCCTCGACCCATCTCGACCCATACCACCACCACCCCCTCCATGCCCGCCTCCTCCACCCCCTCCGTGCCCATCTCTGCCGCTGTTACGACTCCGTTGCCCCTCGCGGGCCTTCGTCGTTGAAGTCCGGCATTTCCACCATCCCTTCTGTGTATATTTCCTCGTCACCTGCCCCCTAAAGTCACCGCCTCGGATTCCGTACTTGACGACAACCTCGCTTCCATCTTCCCTCATGTTCCTTCGCCGTCACCCCAACAGCCGCGTCCGCCGCAGTAATATTTTATATCACTCCCTTCGTTACCTCCACCGCGATCACATATAAATTCTCATTTGTAAACAGAACAATACAGAATTGGAACGAATTACCTGCAACAGCGCTGGAGACTTTCCGTCAGAATGTGTAAAATTTTAAAATTAAATTAAATAAACTGTGATTTTTTAGAATATGTTACAATGAAAATTAATTTTTTTGGTGTTATTATAATTTTATTTTAGCTCATCTTCAGTCTGATGGGGTTTATACAATAATTTTGTAACATTATATTAAGTAATATGTAAATATTATAATGTTTCTTGTATGTGTATTTCTAGTAACTATTTGGAAAACGATACCTCCGAATAGATTCAATGTATTCCTAAGTAGCAAAATAAATATTGTAGTCTATTATATCACCAGGCTATTGCCTCCCGGCATCTCTATAACCCTCAAACCCTTTCCTGCATTCCGCCATTTCCACTCTCCAGTAGAATGTGCCGATACAAAAACGCGCCATCGCCCGGAGCGTTATGGCAGCGGCCGTCGCTCCCCGCAGCTAATCCCGCGTGAAATGAAGCCGTTTCTCGAAGCGCAGGAGAGCGTGCATGCAGTTTTAATGCGCAGAAGCTGCGTCCAATACCCGCCGGCTTCCCCCGCAGACGCTCGCCACCGCGCGGTAGAATCGCACGCAAAGCAATCATAACCGATCGATGGGAGGTTAATAAAATGCACTCGGTAATTCACGCATTTGCAGCCTGCGGGTTTGCTGGTGAAGCAATATTCAAAACTCGCTTATACCTGAATCCGATGAAATTCACTTCAGTACATACGGCTATGTTGGTTGTGAAACAATATTGTGAATATGTTACGGTTATTTTTGCACTTGGAGGACATTGCAATTGAACACTGCATTTGTAAATACAAAATTGACATATTTTATTACATTTATTTTATTCGTGGTCTCAACCGTAAATTGAAACAATATCAAACGAATCTAATAATTAAAACATGCGCTTGATACATTTTTCATCTAAAATTTAAATAGGTCAGGCTAATGTTTAAAAGTAAGTAATTGTTGTTGTTTTTATATCGTCATTTACAATTCTTTATTTCAAAGATATTTAATACGTTTTAAAAATAATTTAATATTGTGATATCATAAACGCAGTCAAGTGAAATCACACATTATTTGTACTTTACAATATTTTAAATTAATATCAGGTGCGTAACATTAATCGTTTCATCGTGAAAGACACGGATGTGCGTAGACTGTTTTGAGTAATTGTCTAAGTTCTGCTTAGTTTGAATCTTATTGATACAAAAATAAAACCCTTTTGCCGATCCGGTGGCCGAGATCGCTAAGGCAGTAGTGCCGTAGCGAACTCGGACCGAAGGATCGCGGGTTCGAGTCCCGCCTCGGGCATGGTTGTATTGTGTTTCGTCCTTTCACCCCCTATCATCATCATTATCGTGTCAACCCACAGTTACCATACCGTTACAAGCAATAGTGGTCGCTAATGACCTAGTAGTTGATGCGACCTTTAATTAAAAAAAAACACTTTTCCTTGTCTTGGCGAGTCATATAAGTGAACCGCTGGCGTTCATGAACTGCAGTCGAATGAGTCATCGACAGAGACCTTATATTCAAATCGAAACAGTTGTTAATCCACCTTAAAATTCATCATTCCTCAAATTTGTGTTTTTCGTCGTTTGTATTCCATTTTCAATGTAGATTTTCTTTCGTGCCCAAAATGTCACACTTTCCGGTAACTTACGAATGTAACTCATCGCAAGCACAAACTTATAAACTTTATTTTTCAAAAGAAAATTGGGTTCATTTGAAGGTTCAAACATGGTGGAGGGTGCATTTTAGATTTTAAAAATACTCAACATTTATATAGAATGTTAAAAAAAGATCATTCAATATTTTTAAGAATAATGAATGCTGGAATTATTTGTATCATAAGAAACATATGTAATTTTTCTCTTCCAAATGTAGTGTATGCAGTCCGTCTTGATATTCGTAACGATATTAAATGCGATGCAGCTTCATTATAAGTTATAACACAGGATTTTCTCCTATTACAGAGAACTTTGCAAATCATGCGCTAAGACGCAGTAATCGCTGATCATCATTTCATTACGTGTTCCGTTCCATTGTGTTTGGGAGACGTCCCGCGAGGGAGCTGATGATAAACTGCATTTTGCCCTGTTTGCAAAAATCATGTTCATATACTGAACGTCCCGATAGGGACTGGGTTACAAATTAACCTCATAGGAAGTAAAAACAAAATTTAAAGTTAATGACATTTTAATGAAGTGGATTCTAAATTGTGCATGTCAACCCTCACTAATCGAGTACTGCTTGTTTGCAGTTCGACTGTGCTAAACCAATGTTATCTGGGCCACCAAGGTGGCTGTTCCATAGGTGGTGTTACCTAAATATTGTATGCCAGCTGCCATTGGACATTAATACACTGTACACAGTTCACGGCATCTCTTATAGTTTTTATCGAGTTCTCGTATTAATATTCATCACAGTATTGTCGTTTACTAATGTGATTTTAAACACCGGCTTAATTAATGTGTTTTAGTATTCAGATGGCTTTGTTAACCCTTGGTGTCAAGAAATATTAGTTTTAATCCCTAAATCTTTGTAAGAATGTATCATTGAAAAGTAGTGAGCTAGAAAGTATTTATTTAGAAATCATTTAATAGAAAAGTACTCAGCTCCCCTCCATTTTTCCAGGAGGAAATGGACTTTGCTGATCTTACTCACACTTGTATTATCAGTGTGACACAAGAAGAGCCTTTAATTTAACAGATTAGTACATCGTGAGCTTAGACTGAAAAGACGTTCAGTCCGAAATCGCGGTACTGAGAATAGTGTTTAACGTAATTAGTTGGATGTAGAGAAAATAATTGACGCAGTTATTCTTAAGCCAAGATGCAAAACCAACCAAGTTTATTATTTGTGACATAGGCCCTTAGGCCTCACTCCTTTTTCTCTAAATGTGGAGAATAATTCGTTTCATTTAACACAATTAATGTCTATTTTTTGCATTTCTATATTTAACACACTTTCTCTGAAAGCCCCCGGTAAAATGATGTATTTAAATCGGGAATATCTCGTAACAATAATGGCTCTTAACTGCATTCTTGTGTACACAGGCGTGCTCGCATACACTCCGCTGTTCCGTCCCCTTTCCCGTCCCGTCCTGTACGGGCACGTGTTCCCTGGGCGACCCGCACGAGAGTAATGCGGGGTTCGTTATTTTCCCCGGGAATTGTGTTAAGCTCGGCCATTTTGGCAGGGCGTTTTTTTCTGCCTTAGACTCATTACTTCCTTGTTATTTTTAATGCAGGCGATTTAATCCGAGTCTAACTAATAAAATCTTCTTTCCCTCGCCGGTCTCGGGGCGTGTTATGCAAATAGCACGTACGAGCCGCTTAGCCCATTTCGTAGCGCACTCGAATCCCTTCTCTATATCGGCGCGATGCCGGCAACGCCTGTAATCCGCTGGATTATGAGCGTAACGCCGCGCCTCGGAGTATATTTTCCGGGGCGGGCTTGTGCTGGGCCGGCCGGCAGCGAAGGAAGCTGCGGTCACGTGACCCGGCCGGAGCGCCGCCGCCCGCCGTCAGCATCGTTCACGCTGAGCGTGGGCTGCCTCCCTGGGGTATTCTCCGTTGCCTCCCTCCGCGCATGAATATTTACGTGCTGGATGGTTTTATTTCTATCTCGGGGAAGAGAACGAATTTATATTAGACGTATACATTTCGCAGAAGTATATTGTGGACTATGGGTGTCGCTTGATGGAATTTATTTCGCTGTTCATTGAATAAAATTGTTGGAGTATAGATATTTTCTCGCAACAACATTGTAAATACAGTATCAGCATCACATCAACAATAATAACACGAGTATCAGATTAATACTCATCTCGTTTTCAATTTTCTTTACAAGCACTAAGTTTCTTCCTTTAGAAAAGAACTTGAGTTCTCTTCTAAATCAAATTAAGTTAATTTTGCTTTTAATGCTTACTATTATTAGCAGGTTTTATAGTCAGAATACAATTTTTAATGATTTTTATGTAAATTATTAGAGCAAGATTTATTTGCCGTCATTTATTCACTAACTGTTTGGTAATG